AATAACATCGTTACATTTCCGTGGTACTTTCAGGCATGCTGATTGTAGTGCAAGCATTTCAAGGGCGAGCTGCTAGAGGGGTGGCCAGCACAGCGAGCCTCTAATGACGCCCTGTGCGAACTGGAACAGAGTACAAGAACGATTAGATACTCACCTCCTCCCCGCATATGGATACGTGTGCATGCGAGCATACATGGATGTGCACGTGCATGCACGTGCATGTGGGTACACACACACACACACACACTTTGTTTCAAAGGCAACTGCCATCCCTGTTCTTGGGGTGTAGATGCGAACACCAGCAGAGAAGCCGCTGCTCCTTCCAAACTGAACACATGTAAGATTTGCCCTTTAATTAGCATCTGCAGCTGTGCCATTAACAGGGTTTGTCTCTGTTGGCCTGAATGTCTTTGCTTTAAAAGAGCAAGTCTGTTATAGCTCCAAGCCAGGCTTGTCTGTCAGCTGCTGTGCTTTCTCTGCCATCTGCAGGGTGATCGCATTGTTTAGGACTGTTTCACTGTAGGGCTCTTTCCTCCTCCTGGCTCCCCGGCCTTTGATTACCATGCCTTGGTGATTGCCGTTCGGGTGACCTGCAGCTGGTCGTTGTGGGCAGGGACCTCGCACGTCCTTCCGCACAGGATGGTTGCCTCCGTGCTGATGGACTGGTTCCTTTCCGGCCCTTTGTTGCCGGTAATCCTGGCGTGGTAGGCAGATGACTGTCCTGTCCAGGTAGTCACTGAAAAAAAAAAAAATGGCAAACAGCAGGAGGGTTGGCTGTATTCAGGGCACCTCTGCCGTAGAAACTGTTCATCTGGCTGACGCAGGGAGCCTCTTTGTCTCTGCACCTTCATCTGCGGTGGGTCTCAGGACTGTGCTGGCCGCATGAGATCACCCAGGGAGCTCCCTAAAAATGCAGATCTCTGCACCTCACTCAGGGTCACTGGAATTTTTAAATAGCTCCCTGAATGGTTGGGAGGGGAGTGAGATGCACTTTACCCTTTCAGACTGCTTAATGTTTACTCTTGTTCATTCCACTAGAATTCCAGCCCCATGAAGGCAAGGGATTTTTTGTCTGTTACAGTCTCTGCTGTTTTTCTAGTATCTAGAACAGTGCCTGACACATAGTAGGCATTCAATTTTTTTTTTTTTTTGATGAATGTGTTTATTTTTTTAAAGATTTTATTTATTTATTTAACTAACAGAGAGAGAGAGCGTGAGAGGGAACACAAGCAGGGGGAGTGGGAGAGGGAGAAGCAGGCCTCCGGCCGAGCAGAGAGCCCCATGCGGGGCTCAATCCCAGGACCCCGGGATCATGACCCGAGCCGAAGGCAGTCACTTAACGAACTGAGCCACCCAGGAACCCCAAATGTGTTTATTTTAAAAAAGCAGCTCCTCAGGTGATTCTGATGGGCAGGCAGGTTTGAGAAGCCTTGCCCTGGAGGACTTACCAGGTTCATTAGGTGAGAAGCCACATTTTTGGGGGATCAGTACCTCACTGGGCGTCTCTGAGTAGTTAAAGTCTGGGATGGAGTCATGCTTTTGGACAAAAGCAGGTGCTGTGAATGGATTGTCTGGCATAGCCTGGGTAGTGACTTTGGCCTTAAATTGTTTATAGTGTTCTGCTGACCCTGGTGTTTAGTTCATAACAAGTCACCTGGTATGGAGACTTGAAGACTCTTAGTTTTTGACCTTTAATGATGCTTTTGGAACTTCTTGACTTGGTACCGTTTTTAAAAGTCCAGAAGAGTTTTCTGAAAGTGCCCGAGTCCTGTTCTTCACTGTACGTCTAAGCTCAATAGCAAGATGATCGATTCGGCTTGGGTTGGCCACACATAAGCCATATTCCCCCTGGGCTCCATTCATAACAGAATGAGTGATTCTACCCCAGTAGGGTGGTTTTGGGGTAGGGATGACATCTCGGGACAGCCAAATTTGCTCAGTAAATTTCCAAATTAAGTTCTTGGATGGCGGGTGCTTGGAATTTTTAGTATGGTAATGTGGAATCGTGTTGATGGGTCAAGTCTGATTAGTTTCTTTGATAAGGACCCAGTCTATTTAGAGGTTTGTCATTTCGTGTCTATTTTGTCCCATGTTGTGGAGCCTGCTGCTTAGCAGCTGTTGTAATTTTTGTCGCTTGTCTTCTCAATCAACCCTGGTTTTGAATAAATGAAAAGTTGTTTGACTCAGAAAAGACTAATCTACTTTTGGCGGGGGTTTTTAGCTCAGGAAATTGGATCTTCTGAATAGGAGCAAAGAATACATATCTTTTGCCTTTTAAGAGATGGTTCTTCTTTTCTGAACTATTTTACTGGTCATTCCAAAATAGAATCTTCAGGAATAGTTGCAAAGTATTAAATAGTGGTCAGTTTGTGAGCTCTTAAAAGTTGCCAGCTGGTGCTATCTGTTTGATGTTGTCATCTTCAAACTTACAAGCCATTCTACTTCACACATCTTTAATAGAGCCAGGTTAGAACATTTATAACTGTGATGTGTCATCATAAATATGCATTGTTCTTATTTTAAGATGTTTCCGTTCTAAAAGCACGAGTACTTCTGTTGTTATCGGTGAATTTTTTTTTTTTTATATTTAAGACCTTTTTTAATGGCAATATATATTTAAAACAGATGTAAAAATTGGCATTCACCCACATATCCAGGGCCTGTGGAGAACCAGGTTGGGATGAGTGGGTGAGCTTTAGGCAGGCAGGTGGCTCCTGTGGGCTCTTCTGGGGCTGGTACTGGTAGCTTTCAATCTGCTGTGAATTTGGGGGAAATAAAGTCTGCATTTTAGCTGCTACCCCTTCTAAGTTTTGTTCTTCTTGTGGGTTCATAAATCTTTTTCCAGCGATTGCAGTGCAAATGGAACCTTACTCTTCCAATCGTCCAGTATCTGGTTGACTCTCCACTCCATGCAAGATGTCATGTGAATGGGGGAGATTCCCAGATGACACAGAGCCCTTGTGGAGGGCATGTGGGTCACTGGCTCCCCCAGGGGTCTCTGGTGTGGGGTTCACTTAGTGCCGGGCAGAATCTTTACTGGGCCAGCCTGCGGCCTCTGCAGATATGTGCAGATGCTTAATGTCTCACTTGACTAGAGCTTTCTTCTAATTCTGGACCGAAAGCAAACAGGAGTTTGGAGGAGGATGGAGAGAATTCACATCCCAAAATTGGCTTCTGGAATGCAGTAGTTGGAGAGATTTTGTATTTTTTTTTTTTTAAGATGTTTATTTGGATCCTGCCTCTTTCCAGAAAGGATTTGAGACAATTTAAAACAAAAGGCGTTTATAGTGTGGCACACAAAATGGGAAATCAGAGCAAAGGACAGGAAGAGAACCGAGTAAGAGTTAACATGGCTGCAAAGATGATCAAAATGTGTCCCAGTTTCTCACAGCCAGAGAGGGAAGGATCATGCGGCCGAGGATGGGAAAGGAAGGCGCTTGACCGGCAGTGGAGGACCTCCTTGGTTCCAGGCACAGTACTGCGAGGCAATTGGTCTCACCCCATTTTACAGCGGGCGAAACTGAAGGGCAGAGAGCTGAAGTCACCAGGCTGCGGTTTGAAGCCACCTGGGCAAATCGGCCTCAGAGCTGCATGTTGACTCAGAATATCACACTCAGTTATCATCAGAAGGAGGAAGGATTTCAGTTCCTTGGAGTGGAAGAAATTTTTTGCTAATCAAACATTTTACTTGAAGCTGTACTTTATATTCTGTTTTTTGTTTTTTTTTAAGATTTTATTTATTTATTAGAGCAAGCATTGGGCGGTGGAGGTGGGGGGGCGCTGCGGGGATCAGAGGGAGAGGGACAAGGAGACCCCTCCGCTGAGCGCAGAGCCGGATGCCTGGGGCTCAGTCTCACGACCCTGAGATCATGACCTGAGCTGAAATAAGAGTCGGACACTCAACCGACTGAGCCACCCAGGTGCCCCTATATTCTTTTTCCAGATTTTTTTCCTATGTATGTATTAACAAATGTAATAATTTTTTTTTTTTTAAATCACAAAAAGGAGGTTGTATTTTGTCCTGTATAGGATGTCACTTTGTATTATCCTGGGCAGCTTTACACGGCGGTATGAATAGATTGACTGTTCATTTTTAATATCTACATCTTCTCCCATTATTTAGATATATCATATTTCAACAGTTTCTTTTTTTTTTTTTAAAGATTTTATTTATTTGAGACAGAGAGAATGAGAGAGAGAGAGCACATGAGAGGGGGGAGGATCAGAGGGAGAAGCAGGCTCCCTGCCGAGCAGGGAGCCCGATGCGGGACTCGATCCAGGGACTCCAGGATCATGACCTGAGCCGAAGGCAGTCGCTTAACCAACTGAGCCACCCAGGCGCCCCTCAACAGTTTCTTAATGATGGATGTTTGGGGGATTTCCAGGCTTTTCCTCCCCTGTGTTACAAACAATGCTACAGTGAATCTATGTATCTATCGATCTACAAACTACTATAAGTTTCCTGTAAAATAAATTGTCAGAAATGGAATCATGAGGTCGGAGAGTGTATGTTCACATTTAAATTTTTAATAGAAATGGTCAGATGACTGTTGCAGGAAAAGATTGTATCATATTTATTGCACGCCTCCTCTAGTCTGCTGGGTGCTGAGAGAAATGCAAAAAGGATGCTGGAGGGTTTGTTGCCCTCTAGCAATTTCCATCTATACTGTGTACCTAATCCTAGGGAATGTCTGGGGTGTCGACTTGGGTGGGTGGGTGGGTGAGTGGGTGGATTTAATTCAACTTTTTAAGCTTGCCTTGCAAACATTGTGCATGGTGTCTGGGACTAGTCTTTCATTATATTGATTCTCTTGGGTATTGGATGTAATTTCCTTAGGGCAGGGACCTCATCCTACGTGACTTAAAATATGTCTCCCACATCTTAGTTGCTTTGGGGAGACATTGTAATTATAACGCGTCAGGTAGTATTTGAGGCTCTAATTGAGATGTTCCCTTTTTTGGGGTGTATGAAGAATTAATAACTTTGGCATTCTATGCAGGTCATGGAATATCAGCCTGGAGGGGACTTGCTGTCACTTTTGAATAGATATGAGGACCAATTAGATGAAAATATGATTCAGTTTTACCTAGCCGAACTGATTTTGGCTGTTCACAGCATTCATCAGATGGGATATGTGCATCGGTAAGTGAGACTCTCTGGTAGTGTACTGAGAATTTATGTGTATCACCTAAGCATTCCCACAGTAGAGAGAATAGATTAATAATTTCAGCATCAAAATGATGCTCCATCAAAATTTTAACTAGTCCTAACTGCAACTGGCTGAAAGTATATTTTCCAGAGTGGCACACATTTCAGCTTTACCCATTCAACAGTGAAATAGATCTAGAATTATAGTGTTCTCACGTTTGCTAATAAGATCTGTGACCATGGCTGATAAGACTGAGAACTCTCGCATGGGTTCCTTGAGTTATACGGTGGAAAAACCAAGTTCGATTTGCAGAGGGAACCTGCATTACCACATAGGAGCAGAAGACCATGGAGTTGTACTTCTGACCTCGCCCATTAGTAATTTACAAAGGTGTTCCAGCAAATCCTCAGTTGAAAAGTGTCTCTTTACATCCTCACGCATGTGATGTTTTATGTACATCTGAGAATGTTGTTCCCTTCCTCTCCCTCCCCCCTTTTCTTTTTCCTTCTCCTTCCCTTTCTCTTCCTCCTCCTCCTTTTCCTGCTTCTCCTTCTTTTTCTTACTTAAATTTGTTTTGCAGAATGTTTACTTTTTATTTATATCTATCAATAGGGAGATCTATATAGCAGAATTTAGACACTGAGGTTGTTGGCTGAATCAATATCCTATGTTAGCAGTTGCTTGCTGATTTGCATGGAGAAAACAACACTAATTTGTGGCCCTGATTTTCTTAGAGACATCAAGCCTGAGAACATTCTCATTGACCGAACAGGACACATCAAGCTTGTGGATTTTGGATCAGCGGCTAAAATGAACTCAAATAAGATGGTAACATAATGGAATGAGATAGCTTAATAGAGATTATGCTACAAAGTGTTCCGTGGTCCTCAAAAGTTTGGAAAATATGGGATAACTTTGAGTGACATTTTGGAATCTTCAACTGCCCGTGTAGGGCGTGATTTCTCTGGAGGTGGTTGTGGGGATGGGGACATAGAGCTATTTCCCAGACTTGCTTGACCTTGGCACCCTATCTGTTAATACCCTACAAAACATTTTTAGGCACATCCTTATGGTTTGGTTAAAACATAAAAGGGAAAATGCTCATTTTTGTTTTTCTTCTCATTTTCCTTATTATAGATTATCTTCTGTAATCTTATTTCACATCTGTATTTTCTATTCAGCAAAATTGAAAGAAATCACTGGCACATTTGAACCAAATAACCTTTAGCATTAAGAACAAACTGCTCAAAATGTCATTTCGAAGTCCTGGACCTCTGGTAAAAATTAAGCTGTATTCCCCATGCTAAATAGGAAGGCCAGAGGGTACCTGCTGAGATCAAGAGCAAGAATACTTGAGGGAAAAGATGACAAAGTAAAAAAAAAATATATATATATATATATATATAGAGAGAGAGAGAGAGAGAGATTTAAAAACAAACCCTAATAAAATTGGTACAGACTAAAGTGAATTTTCATGTCATCTATGCAAAAAACTGGTAGGTCTAAGAGAAAATCAACTTAGATTTTAAGACTTATTTTAAAACTAACCCATTTGGTGACCTGGACAAATTTTTAGGAACTTGGCCTTTCATTCTTTCTCAGTAAAGTACTGAATCTAGTTAAAATGCACAAGTTAAGGGGAGCCTGGGTGGCTCAGTCGGTTTAGTGTCTGCCTTTGGCTCAGGTCATGATCCCAGAGTCCTGGGATTGAGCCCTGCATGGGGCTCTCTGCAGGAAGCCTGCTTCTCCCTCTACCTGCTGTTCCCCCCTGCTTGTGCTCTCTCTCTCCCTTTCTGTCAAAATAAATAAATAAGTAAATAAATAAAATTAAATTAAAAATGCACAAGTTAAGAGGTTAGAGAGGTTACTCTGTAAAATGCCCCCCTTCCTAACGTCTGAGAGTTAAGTCCTTATAAAGGGAAATACGTAAAATTGCCTTTTTTCCCTCAGGTTCCTTGGAGGAAAGGTGGGTGTTATCAGGTTGATATTAGGAAAAGGTTTGGGGTTATGTTAACTGTTTGCACTCTAGGCTCTGGCTTCCCTGTTCGGCAGACCTGAGGCCTACTTGAGATAATTTACTTGGTGTTCAGATCCTTGGAAAAACAGTCGCTCTAGGTGCTGTTTCCCCGCTCCCCGCCAAATCATGTTCTTGTAATCGACTCCTCTACAATGAGATTTAGATTATAGGAGCATGATAAGCATTTCATGTTTTAAAAATTACCTGCCGAAACAGGCATGAAAACTTAGTTGTTGAATTTAGTGGAATAAAGCACAGGAAAAAAGTTAAGTAATGGAAAATTTTTATCATATTGGACTCAAAAACTTGTTCATTGCATGAGTGACCTTAATAAACTCATGCATCTAGAAATGAACTGAAGCATAGATACATGGTCTAATAATTGAAGTGTAGATACATAGTCAGCTCTGGATACCATAGACATTGACCATTGATATTTTGCCCTGGATAATTCTTTATTGTGGGGGGCTATCTTGTGTATTATAGGATATTTAGCTATATTCCTGGCTTCTATCCACCAGATGCCAATAACACCCTCTCCTCCAGTTGTGAAAACCAGAAATGTCTCCCGGCATTGCTGCGTGTTCCATGGGGGACAAAATCACCCCTGGTTGAGAACCATCCCAAGTTGATTGAGAAACAGCAGACAGCTTATTAATGAAAGCCAGCACTAGGTATTTGCAACAAGAAAACCTACTTGGGGAAAACTAGATTATGATCCAAAGTCACTGCTTGGTAAACAAATGGGAATAAAGAGTAAGGCCCCATCTCTGCATCTGGAATCGCTCACTCTCTTCTGGGCCCCAGGTGGAGAGACTGGACTTTCCTTCATTTCAGGTTTCTGTTTCTCAGTGCTTCAGACTATCCCTTTTCAGTTCTTCTAATTGGAACAACCTTCACTTCAGGCGCAGAGCCCTTCAGAGTCACTCAGGTTTATTTGCAGCTCAGTGCTCAACCCCTGATTATTCTGGTGAAGGAGATAAGGCACTCAGTCCTGCATACTTGAGAGTAGTGCACCTCCTCTTCTCTTGGAGAAAGAATCACCTCTTCAGGGGCGCCTGGGTGGCTCAGATGGTTGAGCGTCTGCCTTCGGCCCAGGTCATGATCCCAGGGTCCTGGGATCGAGCCCCACATCGGGCTCCTGGCTCAGCGGGGAACCTGCTTCTCCCTCTCCAGCTGCCTCTCTCCCTGCTCATGTTCTCTCTCTCTCTCTCTCTCTCTGTCTGTTTGTCTCAAATGAATAAATAAAATCAAAAAAAAAAAAAAAAAAGAATCGCCTCTTCAGAACTTTGTGCTTTTTAGGGCCAGAATGTGACAAGCACATAGGAAGGAATTTTTAGCATTGTTTTAAGTGAAAAGGCCTTTAATTATAAAAGACCGATAATCTACAATCTAGATGAAGTCAAGTATGGATATAGAAATACTTTTTTTTTGTATTTTTGATCAGTGGAGGTGGGTTAAACTTTTTTTTAAAGATTTTATTTATTAGAGAGAGAGTGCGCAGGGGGAAGAGGAGGGGGGAGGGAGATGGAGGGGGAGAGAATCTCAAGCACACTGAACTGAGCATGGAGCCCTTTGCCCATTGTGGGGCTCAGTATCACGACCCTGAGATCATGACCTGAGCCAAAACCGAGTCAGACGCTCAACTGACTGAGCCACCCAGGCATCCCAACATGTGTTTCTTTTAAATAGAATGTTTTATAGGCCTAAAGGACGTTCTAAATGTTTTTTTGTACTCAAAATATATGAAATATAATCTATGTTTACTGAAATTCATGTATGCTACTCACCTAAAATCAATTCTTTCCCCTACCACTCTCAAATATTATCTACGAATTTTAGATATTTGTGACTTTTAGATCTGTTGGGTTTTCCATCTTCCCTTGTCATTATTTCAAGCTTCTTGGTGTGTTGCTTTGAAGTATTCTTACTAACAGTGGGGAACCATACTGCCTAGAGGTTTGGGTGTTGAGCTGAGACATGCCATCCACCTGCTATGTGCCCTTAGGCTACCCATTTCACCTTATTAGAATCTCAAAGAGTGGCAAATAGTAAACTCTTCCAACCTGTCTCATTCAGCTCTCACACAAACACTTGTAAGGAGATTGTAAATAAAGAGCAGTATAGCATGTTAAGTGTTAATCAGCCTCACTGAGCAGTTGAAAATCTATAGGAGATAGCCTTTTTTGACATTTATGTAGGAGTGAGAAGATTTTATCCTTTTCCCCCAAGAGGAACAACATAGTGAGATACCATTCTACCCCTACTGCCCCCCCTGCCCCAACCCCCCATCCCACCCCTGCTTCTGCAGGTGGATGTTTCTGCCCTGCGTAGCCACATGGGGGAAATTTAGGTTGAAATAGTTTTATGTTTAAGCATTTTATGGGAAGAGGCTTGGGGGGAGACAGACAGTGGTTTTCTTACTTTCTTCTCATCTGCTTGTAAAGGAATCTAAGTCAATCCTTTTTTGTTTCTTTTCTTAACCTCTCTCTCTCCTGAAATATGACTCCGTCTTCTGTCTCCTAGTCATTTTGTTATTGTCTCCTGCTGAACTGGTGTATTTTCTTCCCTGTCAATACAGTGAAAATTAACTAAAATTTAGTAAAACTTTTCAGATGGTGCCCTGTACATGGCTCCACTTTTAGTATCTTACCCAGATTAGCTGGCTGTGAATAGCCACCAGAGGAGAGTGAAAGCATCCTGCAAAATCCTTATCAGGATGTGAGACATTAAGTGTTGAATGGGTTTAATGTGCTTGGAGGTCAGTAACTAATGGAAATTTAGCTGTCATTAAATTGTCATTAAAAACCTTTGTAAGTTACTATTAAGTACCTAATGTACTTTATGCAGGAGATGTGCATAAAGGAAGCTAGGGATATTTTCCCTTAAAATTTAGAAAATCACAAAGTGATTAGACATAAATGTGTATAATCACATGCCTGTTGTGGGGCAGGAATTAGGGAGTTATCTGACTTTCTTGGATAAGTCTCATCATGAATCTGAAAATGAGGCATTGATGACTTAAACCCCTTGCCTGGGTCATGCTGATAAACACAACCCAGTCAAGTTCCTTTCAACTCTTTGCTGGTGAACAAGTGACTAAGCCCTGTGCACTGCAAACAAGGAGACTGAATGTTCCCAAACAGTCTAGTGTGATGACAAAATAAAACCCAACAAGTGCAAAGATGCATATTTGAGGATTGCATAGTAATAGTTCTGCAAGGTAATTAGGCATAAAGGGTAAGCATTTAATGATGACATTAGTTTTTCTTCTCTTGTTTTCATATTTAAAAAAATATTATTGTCAGTATGGAGGGTTTTTACCAAAAACCTGTAGTTTAATCCTAGTCCCATGCTGAGCTCATTAACATTTACACACACATTAAAAGATAGAAGTCTTAGCGCAGGCTCCCCAGCATCAAGGCTTTCCCTTGACTTAAGCTGCTTTCAGTTTCTCAAGTTTAAGGTACCCTGTCTTAGACCAGATATCGTCTCCTTTCTCCCCACTTTTATCTATCAGCAATGGCTTGTGGCTTTCTTGGGCAGTGTGACCATCTAGCTTTCCCCAGTGGGTACTTGCAGTGAAAATTCTTTTTTTTTTGGTAAAGATTTTATTTTAAAGTAATCTCTGCTCCCACTATGGGGCTTGAATTCACAACCCCCGAGATCAAGAGGGGCATGATCCACTGAGTCGGCCAGGCACCCCTCAGTGGAAATTCTGTTGCCCAAAGCAATGGATGACTGGCGTCAAGAATACCAGTATCACACTGTTGTCCAGATTTAGGTTTGGAAAACCTATGGTGGGCTTGAGAGAAGGGGTGAAAAGAGAAGGAGTAGGGAGAATGGGTCTGTTTCCTACGACTGTGGATCTGTGGGGCAGAGGGATGGATTAAAGATTAAAGTTACAGGCTTGAAGAGCTTGAGTCTCCATCCCTAGGGAAGGGATATAAAGCCCAGCCTTAAAGATGCGTGCCATATCTATAAAATCTCTAACGTCTCTCAGGGGCACTCAACATCCTTTAATGCGGAGAAGATTCTTTTGTGCCCATGTAACTGCTCACGTGAGAGAAGCCTTTTTAAAGGCAGGATTACTGGACAACTGTAGGATTATTGGTTAACACAGATATGACTAAAATCAGGCCCTTTCTGTTTTGATGGGGAAGAAGTCAGAGAGGTGATCCTTAGCCTTTAAATTTCATGGATCAATAAGACTTCAAAACAATTTTCAAGGCTGAAAGGGTTGCCAGCTTACTCTGTTGTCTAGGAAGGAGTGGGGTGGGAGGGGGGCAGAAAACCTTTCATCAGCATCATTTCGAGAAACAAAGGACGTATAAACACTAAAACAGAAGGACAAATTCTTAAAAGGACAGTTCTTCAAATGGGATATATTTAGCTTTACAAAAAGACCTACTACATTGTCCTAGCCTTTCTTTGCCAAGGTCAGGTGCTTGAGTGCCACTGGATTGGAGGGCTCTGGATTTCTGAACAGTGGGGAGGGAACCACAGGACTAGGAGTTGGGGGTGAGGAAAATGAACTCATTAACATTGGACCTCTGGTGGAAGATATTTATCATGTCTTTCCCTGTGGGTGGTTCGAAGTAGGAATGTTGACTCTAGATATTTAAACTTGAGATACAACGAGTTTGCAATATTGTTTTGCCCCAGCTAGCTGCCAGGTTTTCAATAATGGGTAGATTGATCTTATAGATTCATCTTCAGGATTTATTATCATTTTGCTGTTTTCATAAGAGAAGTTCTGTGTAACATGTATCAGGAAAGACATCTTCTGTTCTAGTTATATACCCAACTCTTATTTGTGTAACCAAAGGGTGTATATCATCAACAACTCTTGCCCTTTTGCCTTTGGATTATATTATGTACTTTTTTTTTTTTTAATTAGTAAATCGTTTGCATTTCCTGACAGCGTGCCACTTGACAGAAGGTTTAAGTGCCTGGGAGAATAGTAATCAGTGGCAAATCAGCTCGTGTCTGAAATGTGGCTGTTGGCAATCTATTTGAGAATAATTGAAAGTTTGCTGTGTTCATTTTATTTATGGGTTTCCAGGTGAACGCCAAACTCCCGATTGGGACTCCAGATTACATGGCCCCTGAAGTGTTGACCGTGATGAATGGGGATGGGAAAGGCGCCTACAGTCTCGACTGTGACTGGTGGTCGGTGGGAGTGGTCGCCTATGAAATGGTTTATGGAAGGTCCCCGTTCACTGAGGGAACCTCAGCCAGAACCTTCAGTAACATCATGAATTTCCAGGTAAAGAGCTGGTCGTAGGTTCTGAAGTAATACGGAGAGCTGTCATTTAAAAATGTGCGAGTGAACATTTGTGATGTAAATCAGCAGTGCCTGGATAATGCCAATAGCAAATACTTAATAAAGCACCTCGTGCTAAAAACTGCTCTAGACGCTTTAGTAATTGTGTTTCATTGACTCGCAGCTGCCAGTCATTGTAAGCTTGTGCCATTATTTTAGGTCCCGCTAAAAAAGAAAAACTCTTGCCAATTAATCTATCATATTTCATTGATTATAAAATGCATTTTGATTTTAGTGCTGTTGTGGGAATAACTGAGTCTTAGACTTGAAATACAGTTCATTAACTTGGCTAATCCTCAAACAATGTGAGAGGTCGATATTCTTTTCCTTTTACAGATGAGGAAACCAAATCCCAAAATGGTTAAGTAACTTGCCTAGAATGTCTGGCTTTGAGTCCTTTCCTTTGATAGATATTCTGCTGGGCTCTTTCTCAGTACTCCTAGCTGTCGAATATGATAGTAAAATCGAATGGGGATAGGAATTAGAATTATGGCAATATATATGAAGTAGAATTAAAACCATTTTCTAATAACTGTACATTCCAGTATGTTAAACCCATTTCTTAAGGATATGATAAATATGTATGTTTTAGTTTCAACCGAAAGGAAAAAGGAGAAACTTCACAGGTTTTTCTAACTCATTCAATCTCATCTTTCTGGAATGCTTAGTACATATTTTCATATATATGATACATATTTCATATGCTTAATACATACATATATTACTTGTTATTCTTGAGTCTCCTCTGGAGTGAAAGTTTTCCCTTAGATGATTTTTGGAGCCAATTTATCTCCTTCATTTCAGTCTGCTCGATCAGTAATGAGTGAATTGCGCTTGGCCCGGTTAGGTACTGGGTTTACAGTGATGAGCAAGGAGAAGGCTCTCTCTGCCTTCTCTCCCTGTTATCACATAGAAATCACAGTGCACTGTGTTTGTGCAGAAGTAGATTACAGAGGGAGCATGGGGGGGGGCAGTGATCGGGTGGAAGAGGGGCATGGGATGGGGAGGGCGTTCTAGGCAGAGAGAACAGCATGATTTGTTCAGGAGCTTTAAATAGCTCATCATTGTTGGACAGCAAAGAGCGAGATGGGGAGTGGAGCTACAAGAGACAGAGAGGAGCAGGGTCAAATCATGAAGGATATTGAACCCTTGTAAAGGAACGGGACCCATTGATGTGAACAGGCCATTTATTTTGGGAACATGCCTTTGGTCCAAAGTTAAGAGGGCACAAAACTTCCTTCTTTTAAAAGAAAAAAAAAGGGAGAGAGAGAAACTTGCATATATGAGAAATACCTTAACTTTGGAACATCAGAAGCTGAATCTGCTAAGGAAATGCTTATTTTATTTTGTTTTATTATTTTGGAATAGCGGTTTTTGAAGTTTCCCGATGACCCCAAAGTTAGCAGTGAATTACTTGATCTGATTCAGAGTTTGCTGTGTGGCCAGAAAGAGAGACTGAAGTTTGAAGGCCTTTGCTGCCACCCTTTCTTCTCTAAAACTGACTGGAATAACATCCGTAACTGTAAGTAGAGCCGCAGTCCTTCACTTCTGGTGTTGGAATTAAGTGTAAACACTTAAGAATGATCGGAAATTATTCTGACCCACAGGAGGTGGTATAAATTATATAAATAAGGGCCTTAATTATCTACAGGGGATAGAAAAGGCTAATGACAGAGCTGTCGGTAAGTGATAATTCTTCTTTAAAATTGTTTGCACAGAACAGGGTCATTTATCAAACTCTGGGCTTATGTGGCCTTCCGAACATCATCCCTCAGTAAGTTAGAGGTACGGATTGGTGGAGTTCAAGGGTTGTCACTTGCTTTGACAGAGTTTCTTCTCAGAGGAAAAGCAGACCTAGGTATATCCTTCACAGATTAGGAAAAAAGACTCAGAAATGAGGCAAAGCGCCACATTGCTCTGCGAATGGCCAGGCCTGCACAGAAACCGTAAATGTCTCTCTGGATTCGTTTGTTCTCCTCTAGAATATTTGTCTTTGTTCACAAGCTTGTAAAATCTATCACGTAGATGCACAGTGGAGTCATTCATTCATACATACGTCACTCTGGGATCAATTAGTGCAAAGGGAATTCATTAAAAACAGAGACCTGATTTATTATCAACAAAAACCAAAATGCTTGGTTTTTTACAAATTGGTGATTTTTTTATTTTTGGATGTGTTGTTGATTGAATGTGACCCAGTGATTAGCACAGAGGAGAGCCAGTAGGAAAGCAGTTGGTCTGTGTGAGTGTTTTATCTTCGGTGATGAGGGGAAGTGGGGAGTGGAATCCATTTCTAAGGTGTCAGCACCAGGCTTCTAGCTGGAGCCATGTCGTTGTAATGTAGGAGTTGGGTTAAGATCCAGCATTGTCCAGTTGAAAGCCATTGTGATGGTTTCTCTAACCTGCCCAAATATTTAAATAGGCTACGTTTTTGTAAATATTTCTTAGCAATTTTTTTTTCTTCTGGTAGGGACATTGCTTACTTTTTCTTTTTTTTTTTAAAGATTTTATTTATTTATTTGAGAGAGAATGAGATAGAGCATGAGAGGGGATAGGGTCAGAGGGAGAAGCAGACTCCCTGCCGAGCAGGGAGCCCGATGCGGGACTCGATCCTGGGACTCCAGGATCATGACCTGAGCCGAAGGCAGTGGCTTAACCAACTGAGCCACCCAGGCGCCCCCATTGCTTACTTTTTCTAACCTTCATGCATCAACCCCCAAATCTCCAAGGTTCGGGGCTTTTAATCAACAGTATATTTTCAGGGCTGTCTTCTTTTTTCGCTTTTAGAAAGATTTGATACAGTTTCCCATAGATGCTATTCATATACTCAGTCTTTTCTTGCCTTGCCTTTGTGTCTCTGTAGTCTCCTTGAACGAGCAGTTAATTTTTCTTTGTGTGCACTTGCCGATTATATCTTAACAACCTGTCTCCACTCAAGTGAGCCAGTGAGTGGTGATGAATTACCCAAGTAACTTTATTTTGAGTTTTGGTTCACCTTGATGTTGTTTTTGGTATGGTGTCAGAATTCCCAGATTTTGTCCTAGTCTTTTTCTTCCAGGCTGTTTTATAGGCTCTAGGCTTATTGGACTTACAAGTGTAACTCCTGTTCTGTAAATTACATAGTGCTCGTAGGGGATACACGTCAGTGTAGATTGTGGCCCATGCTGTCCATCACAAGGCCCATCTTTTAAGGGTGCCTGGCTGACACAGTTGGTTAAGTGTCTGACTCTTGGTTTTGGCTCAGGTCTGATCTCGGGGTCAGGAGATCGAGCCCCACATTGGGCTCTGCGCTCCGTGCAGAGTCTGCTTGGGTTTCTCTCTCCCTATCTGTCTGCCCCTCCCCCTGCTATCTCTCTCTAAAATAAAATAAATAAAATCTTTAAACAAACATACAAAACAAGGCCCATCTTTTATTTATTTTTATTTTATTTATTTATTTTTAAAGATTTTATTTATTTACCTGACAGAGAGAGAGACAACGAGAGAGGGAACACAAGCAGGGGGAGTGGGAGAGGAAGAAGCAGGCTTCCCGCTGAGCAGGGAGCCTGATGTGGGGCTCGATCCCAGGACCCCGGGATCATGACCTGAGCCGAAGGCAGACGCTTAACGACTGAGCCAGCCAGGCGCCCCAGCCCATCTTTTGGAAGGTCCTGGTTTTCTTTGGGATGAGATGACTTTGTAATGGGTCACTACAGTCTTGGTCATCTTCACACTTGCTGCCCCCATACGTGACTCACCCTGCCTCCTGTGGCTATCTACTTAAAATTTCCATGTCCCAATACATACCTACTTAGTTTTTCCTTATTATTATTTTTTTTAAGAACTTACTTTTAAGCAATCTCTATACCCAGTGCAGGGCTCGAACTCACAACCCCGAGACCAAGAACCAAGAGTCTCACACTCCACTGACTGAGCCAGCTAGGTGCCCAGTTTTTCCTTATTTTTAACACATGCGCGTGTGTCATTCCCTCACTCCCCGCCATCTTGTATTAGGGGATTCTCATCCACCTGAATCCTGATTCTTTTTTTTTTTCCGAGGTTATTTTTTTAAAGTAAAAATTGTAGGGTGCCTGGGTGGCTCAGTCAGTTAAGCGTCTGCCTTCAGCTCAGGTCATGATCCCAGGGTCCTGGGATCGAGCCCCACATCGGGCTCCCTGCTCGGAGTGGAGTCTGCTTCTCTGCCCCTCCCCCCCCGACTTGTGCTCGAGTGTGCATGTGCTCTCTCTCTCTCTTGCAAAAATAAATAAATAAAATCTTAAAAAAAAAACTTGACAAAAAGTAAAAATTGTATATAAGGTGTACAACATGATGATTTGATGTACATACATATGGTGAAATGATTACTGTAGCCAAGCTAATGTTCATATCCATCTCCTCACATAGTTATCATTTTTTCCTTTTCTGTGTTGAGAGCACCTGTAATCTACTCTCTTAGCAAATTGCCAGTGTTCAATACAGAGTTATTAAACATAGTCATCATGCTGTGTATTGGCTTTACTTATTCATCCTATATAACACCCAACTTTGTACCCTTTGACCACTATCTCTGCATCCCGCACCCCCCCCCCGCCACAATCTGGTAGCCATCCTGCTCTCTGCTTCCATGCATTTAACTCTTAGATTTCACAGAAAAGTGAGATCATACAGTTTTTTCTCTTTCTGTGCCTGTGTTATTTCCCTTAGCATAATGTCCTCCAGGTTCATCCATGTTGTTGCAAATGGCAGGATTTCCTTCTTTTTTTTAAGGCTGAGTGATATTACCGTGTGTGTACCTGTGTGTGTACCACAACTTCTTTATCCACTCATCACTGATGGGCACTTAGATTGTTTCCATATCTTGGTTGTTGTGAATAATGCTACTATGAACATGAGAGCACAGATAAATCTTCGAGGTACTGATCTCATTTTTCTTTGGGTGTACAACCAGAAGAGGGATTGCTGGATCGTGTGGTAGTTCTATTTTTAGTTTTTGAGCCACTAAAAATAGTTTAGTTTTTGTTTTCCGTACTGGTTGTAACAGTTAACATTCATTCCTACCAACAGTGTACAAAGATTCCCTTTACTCCACATCCTCGCCAACACTTGTTGTCTCTTGGCTTTTTTTTTTTTTCCTCCCAAAATAGACCTGGGCGTGGTGCCCAGTGCGGGGCCCCAATCTATGGCCCCGAAGATTAAGACCTGAGCTGAGATCAGAGTCTGACGCTCAACCAATGGAGCCCCCCAGGCACCCCCTCTTGTCTTTTGGTTACTAGCCATCCTAACAGGTGTGAAGTGTTATCTCAGGGTGGTTTTGACTCGCATTTCCCTGATGATGAGTGATGTTCAGCACCTTTTCAGATACCTGCTGGCCATCTGTATGTCTTCTTTAGAAAAATGTCTTTTCATGTCCTTTGCCTTAAATCTTGATTCTTAAAAATCTTGGTGGTTGGGACGCCTGGGTGGCTCAGTCGGTTAAGCAGCTGCCTTCAGCTCAGGTCATGATCCCGGGGTCCTGGGATCAAGCCCCACATCAGGCTCCCTGCTCGGCGGGAAGCCTGCTTCTCCTTCTCCCACTCCCACTTGCTTGTGCTCCTGCTCTCGCTATCTCTGTCTCTGTCAAATAAATAAATAAAATCTTTAAAAAAAAAAAAAATCTTGGTGGTTTTTATGGACTTCCAACTCCCAGTATAGTGGCTCTGAAGTGTTATGAAATATGTTTGCTTTAAAAAAATTTCTTTTAATTTTAATAAACCTTTTACTTTGGAATAATAATAGATTTATAGAGAAGTTGCAAAGATAGTACAGAGAGTTCCCACATACCCTTCTTCTCCCAGTTTCCCCTAATGTTATAACATCTGACGTAACTATGCCACATTTGTCAAAACTAAGATTAATATTTGCACATTACTATTAATTTAACTTGAGAATTTATTCCGATTTCACCAGTTTCTCCACTCGTGTCTCTGTTCTGTTCCCGGAATCAGTCCAGGATACCATATTGCAATGAGAGTGTTTGCATCCAATGGAACTCTGCCTGGCTGAGATACTTGGTGTAGCTCGGCCAGTGGGTGGGATCTGCATGTCCACTGAGGACTGGTAGTGCCTTTTCCTAGAGGTTCCATGGCATCCCTGACTATGCAGAGAGCCACGGTATTCACTGAATTTTTCCTAGCAGATTTCCCAGTTTTTCACCAACCTCCAATCCCTGTGTATTTGCAATCAACTCAGGGTTGTGTGATTGAAAATATTGCTGGACTTCATGCTGTTTGAACTACTTTCTAATGACATAACTCTAACAGAAATTATGCCTTTGTCCAGTCCCATTTTTCATAAATGCACTTTGAGTGATTTTTTTCAACCAAAAAACTTGAAGCCATTGGATTTCCTGAGTTTATGGTTGCTGCTCAAATGCCTTATGGCTCCAGCATATTAAATATTTCCACTTGCCACACACAAGATTGTCCCTTGATGAAAGCAACATTAGCCTCTCTGCTGCCTCACCCCTAATTCTTCTTTTTCTTGTTGTAACCAATGAAAGGAAGT